TTTTTTTCAACAAAAACCCGAGTTCGGCTTTTGTTGAAAAAAAAAAAAAGCAAAAAGCAAAAGCATATTTGAAAATACCTATAGTATATATAAATTGCGAACAATGCATGGAGAAGTTCTAGCTGCACCGATCAATATACGGTTGATAAAAAAATACTATGATCATCCAGAGGTAGAACAGACCCTGAACTCCGCCCAACCTGTGACAAAAGTAAAAGGGAAAAGTTAAGGAAAGATAATAGTAAAAGCCAAAACTGGGGTAAAGACAGACGGTACTATTAAAAAAAAAAAAAAAACTTTTACAACGATAAGAAAATTTTGGGAAAATAGATACCCAAGAAGAAAACGTGAAAAAAGAAGAATGACCAGAAAGAAATAAAAAGAGGACAGAGTCAACAAAGAAGTAAAAACCAAAATGCTGCTCGCCTTTACCGACCTACTTGAAGACCTCACCACCTTGGATCCCGCTACTACTGCTCCTGTGACCCCACCATACTATGCCACAGACGACCCTGCCACTTGCATCCTGGCAGTGCTCAGTCAGATGACAAGGGCCAAATGATCTCGAAACCGTATCCACATCCTCGCCCATGGGTACTATATGGGAATGATTTATGCTATCGCCACCCAGAGCAACTAATCTACCTATGCCGCCTCACATCGGAATACTACCTGACCTCAGTCTGTATTTATGACATATTTAGTAAGTACAGAATAGACTAGATATATCGAATCCAGAAAGTCTGATTCCAAAACTTTAAGAAGTTGTTGGTGGAAGAATACAGCCAGCTAGTCAATGACAGTTCGTGGAACTTACCTCTAAGTGAGGAGAAATGCGAGACCGGAAACGTGACCTGACCGCAGGCACGTGGCCACATGATCCAGGAATTCCAAATTTGGGTTTACCGTCAAAATTCCAGGAATTCCCGGAATTACGAGAATTAGGGAAATTCAGTGATTTTTTAAAATAAGGCAAAAAACGGGAATAAGGCGAATTCCAATAATTACAGTAATTACAGTAATGAGGGTAATTTTGGGAATACGGCGAATTCTGCATACACTAAGTAAATAAAGAATTAATTATAAATAAAGACCTTTGAGCCCTTGGGAAGATGATAACTCCCACCTTTGCTTTATTAAATCATTCATACCATACAATTACTTTTATACATCATACTACCATTATTAAAACTATACACTTTGTAAAATTTGACTAATTACTCTTAACAAAAGTTATATGCTTCTATGTTTTGTAAACCGTACCTAACGTTTAAGATAACAAAGATACACCTTCATTACGAACCCTGCCTCAACAGTGTTAAACTGTGGTTCTGTCCCAACTAAAACTATACCACTCGACTAAATCTAACATGCCTCTTTTGACCCTAAAGTAACCTGGTTTGGTTACACAGACCCCCTTTCTATTTAGCGACAGACTCACCAATTTCAGGTCTGACAACGGTTCAAAGTAATTAGATCATAAATCTAACATTGTGTAACTACTTGGTGACTAAACACTATTCAACATACAAAAATAGACTATCATTTCAAAATGAATTTCTTTTCTCTCGTTTTTATTTCTTAATTAAAAAAAATGCTTATCTTCTTAATTTTAATTTTAACTAATATTAGTCAAGTCAGAAGTGGCCAGGCTTTTAATAACTGTCTTGTTGATTTTTATCAAAATGACACCACCTATAAGAATGTTCTCTTCTATAATAACTTGCTCAATTATTCTTTTGTTGAAACTAGTACAATGTTTAAAGTTTGCTACAATGAAACGCTATACTACTCCAATAATATTAACACTGGTTGTAATTTTCCAAACGGTAAAGGCTTTATTTGTTCAAGAATTACCCAGTCTGTATTTTGTCATAATGAGTTATGTGGCAGTATTATTGGCGATGTTCAAATAACTAGCAATACTACTTTCGGATACTGCCCATTTGAAAACCTTAGCGTTGCAACAAATTATTTATCAAATATTTCTCCTACCGGTCTTTCTGGTCTAAATAAAGGCTATGCACATTTTACTTGCCCAAAGAACACTGTATGCCAAGATTATTTGTTTAATTGGGACAACAGTGGTTAGATATTTTCTAATAATTATGATTCTATTTATCGTGATCTATACAACATAACTAATAAATGTTATTTGCAATGGCCTGCACCATTTCCAAGTAACACGACTACAAAAATTCAAAGTACTACAACTCCAGGAAATTCGATTACTACAGTTATTACTACCATGGTTTTGGACTCTAAAAATTCCAACTTAATTATTGGATCAGTTATTGGTGGTGTAGCTACCTTGGTATTAATTGAAATAGCTATTATAGCAACTCTAAGATATATGAATCGAGATAGGGCAATTATAACATCCTAAGGGAGTTAGAGATGTTTAATACAATATAGCTCTATTATATATATCTACTTATTTTCTAGAGATCGTGAAATGAATTACCTATATGCCTAGTCTTATTATTAATTTTGTTAGAACCAACAAAACCAATTTTGAATTATCATTGGAAATACACATGCATTTATCTTTACAAACACTTAGTATAAATTCTAAATTTAAAGGCAAGAAGCGTTGTCAGACCCGAAACCGCGAGTCTGTCGCTAAATTGAAAGTAGGTCCATGTAACCAAAACCTCGGGTTACGTTGAGTCAAAAGAGGCGTGTTAGATTTAGTCGAGTGGTATAGTTTTAGTTGGGACAGAACCACCGAATTTCATAAGGGTTAGGGTGAAAGACCATGTTAGGGTAAGGATAGGCATTATGATTGTTTTGATCTGACGCAATTTCTAATTCAACGTGCAAAATTAATAAATATAATATATAAAATGCTATAGAGTTCATAACGAAGGTGTATCTTTGTATCTTAGACGTTAGGTGCAGTTTACAAAAACGTAGAAGCATAAACTTGTATTAAGAGTACTTAGTCAAATTTACAAAGTGTATAGTTTTATTAATAAAGGTAGTATCATGTACGAAAGTAATTGTATGGTATGAATGATTTAATAAAGCAAAGGTGGAAGTTATTTTTCCCAAGGGCCAAAAGGCCTTTATTTTATAATACCAATTTTGCCTAGAAAATCTCCCTATTCTATGTTAACGTCAGAAATCCCAAAAAATACTATTATTGTTAAAAACGCCAATAAACCTATAAATGCCCTTATTGACAGAAAACCCAAAAATGTCTTTATTGACAAAAATACCATTTCCCCAAG